TTGGTTAGGAGATAAGTCTATCTTCTGTAAATCACGCATTTATGGGAAATCACTCTCAGTTCTTAAATTCCATGCTTCTAAAGGCACATGTGAGGTTCTCCATTTCATATCCTCCAGTTCCATTTTAGATGGAAGGAAATCCTTTCACAAACCTGTGTTTTCCCTTGATGGTTTACCTCGTCTCAATACCATTTACTGAATGAGCTAACTTTTCGGTGGTGATTTGAAGTGTCACCTTTATATCCTAAATTCCCATATACACTTTGGTTTCTTTCTACATTTCCTTTTTTGGTACATTGATCTGATTATTTGTGGACAGTAGCTCATTGTTTTAATTATTATTGTTATTATAATATGGCTGATATCTTAGCACTAGTCCTCATAGATCGATTGAGTCACCGAGGTGCCCATGTCATGCCTTTTCATGTCTTACAGCTTTCAGTCATGTTCTTAAGTTTTCTTCAAAAAGATCTGGGTATTTTTTTTGTTGTTGTTGTTATTATAAATGCGGCCTTTTTTTGAATTGCATCTTCTAGTTGGTACTTGTTATGTAAAGCAATAGATTTTTTTAAAAGATTTTATTTATTTATTTGTCAAAGAGAGAGAGAGAGCACAAAGCAGGGGGGAGCAGCAGGCAGAGGGAGAAGCAGGCTCCTCACTGAGCAAGGAGCCCAATGTGGAACTCAGTCCCAGGACCCTGGGATCATAACCTGAGCCAAAGGTAGATGCTTAACTACTGAGCCACCCAGGCGTCCATAAAGCAATAGATTTCTACATATTAACTTTGCTCCCAGCCACCTTACTGAATTCTCTTATTTCTGTATTTTTTGTAATAGTTTTCCCAGTAGGTTCTTTGGAGATTTCTGCATCTTCAATCATATTTCTGCAAATAATGGTAATTTTAGCACTCCCTTTTCAAATTATATACCTTCATATCCTTTTTCTTATATACATATTTTGTTAGAACCTACAGAAACAAGTGTGGATGTTTTTGTCCTATTTCTGATGTTACTCCATACATGTCTGATATTTCCTTTATTTTCTGTTGTGTTCCTTTCAAATGAACATTTATTCAGGATAATGATTTTATTTTTTTCTTCTAAATCTTTGCTATTTCCAAAATTGATATGATGACATTGTAGTCAGGAGAAATAAAGTGAATGAGGAAATTATATAATATTGTAGGTGATAAGTACAGTGGAAAACAATTCAAACAGGGTATAGGGGAAGAAAAAATTTCCTTTCTTCCCTTCTAGATTCTTTGGTGGTCCAATAATAAAATGGACATAAGACAGATTAACAAGAGAAAAACAAATTTAATTGCATACATACAAGAGCCCAATAAAAAGATGAGACTCAAAGAAGTGACCAAAGCAGGAGGCCTTTAAGCCTTTTAGACAAAGAAACAACACATTTAGGAAAAATTGACAAGACAATGGGGTTTGGGCTTGGGGATAGTGAATTGGTAAAGAAGTAACAAGGTTTGTTTATACAGTTTCTAGCCCTAAATCCCATCTCTGGTCATATGGATGTCTCCTACCCTCCTGGGACAGGGAAGACACCTTTCACATGGGAGATTTATCATCTCCTTTCATGGAGACAGAGGCGGGTCAGAGTCCTTGCATTCGCTGTTTCTCAAGTATCTCTAATTCAAAATAATCAATAAGCCAAAGTGGCATATTTTAGGGTGACAGAATATAAACCCCTACAAGGAAGGGTAAGGGAGATAGAAAGTGCTGAGTGTGGGGAAAGCTGTAATTTTAAACAGTGGTCCAGAGCAGGCCTCACTGAGAAAGTAACATTTAACAGAGACTTGAAGGATGAAGGGTACATGGGAATTGATCATTCCAAGTAGACGGAACAGCAACTGCAAAGGTCTGAGGTGGGTTTGGGCCTCACAATCCAAAAACCACAACGTAGCTGAAACAGTAAGCAACGGAAGAGTAGGAAGAGATGAGTTAAGGGTGGGAGGTGGGGCAGATTTTCTAGAGCCCTGGAGGTCACTGTCAGGCTTTGGGTTTTTTTTGTTTTTTTGAAAGATTTTGTTTATTTGTCAGAGAGAGACACAGTGAGAGAGGGAACGCAAGCAGGGGGAGAAGGCAGAGGGAGAAGCAGGCTTCCCGCCGAGCAGGGAGCCCAATGCAGGGCTCAATCCCAGGACCCTGGGATCATGACCTGAACCGAAGGCAGATGCTTAACGACTGAGCCACCCAGGTGCCCCTCAGGCTTTGGTTTTACTGAGATAGGGAGCCATTAGAGTAACAACATCTGATGGATGTTTTAGAAGAACCTCTTTGCTATTGTATTAAATACTGATGTTTTGGGAGTGTGTGTGTGTGTGTGTGTGTGTGTGTGTGTGTGTGTGTGTGTGGAGGGGGTGGATTATGGCAGTTAAAAGCTAAAAGGCACTTAAGAGACTATTACAATAATCCATGTGAAGAAGATAGATTCTGGATCTGTTTTAAAAGAAAAGTCAGCAGGATTTGCTGAGAGACTGTATGCGGGCTGTGAGGAACCATCACCATGGAGACAGAGAACAGCTTTGGAGTACAGGCCTGCTTTGGACATGTTATGTTTGAGATGTCCTGGACATTAAAGTAGAGCTCTAGATGAGGCAGTTGGGTATATGAATCTGGAGTTCAAGAAGACCCGGCTGGAGGTACACATTTGTGAGTTGCCAGCTTGTAGACTGTATTAAAGCCACAAGATTACCAAGAGAGTAAGTACTGATGGAGAAGAAAGAGGCCTAGGGATTGAGCTCTGGAGTACAAGGAGAAGAAAAGGAACCTGCAAAGGACACAGAACAAGAAGCCAATGAGGTTGGAAGACAACCAGGAGTTTGCAGGGTCTTGAAAGCCAAAATGAAGAAGATGAATCATGGAGGGAGTGCTCAGCTGAGTCTACGACTGCTGACAAGCTAAGGAAGAGGAGACCTATGCATTCATCCCTAGCTCAAGCAACACAGAAGGGCATTCTTGGTAATCTTGAAAAGAACCCTTTCAGTGGAGTAGTAGGGTGAAAAGTGAGACTGAATTAGAATGCAGAGAAGAATTAGAGACAGACTTCCTTGGTTTACAAATGAAACCGTTTTCCTTAGGAAACCTAGGGCAAGTTTTGAGATTTTTGTGATTTGTGATTGTCATATATTCAAGGTTTGTTCCCTTAAAAATGTAAGACTTACAAAACCATCTCTGGTCAGGTTGTGAAGTCACTAAAATAAGTCTTTTCTGTAAAATGGATGGGGAAAGAAGAATATAAAGTTCATTTCATTTGCCATTTGATTTTCTGAATGGTTATAGTACACAGAAGTTAAATTTTCTCTATAAGTCACATTTAAAAAAAAAGATTTTATTTATTTATTTGAGAGAGAGGTAGAAAGAGAGAGCACAAGCATGAGTGGAGGGTAGGGGCAGAGGGAGAGGGAGAAGCAAACTCTCTGCCAAGCAGGGAGCCCGATGCAGGGCTTGATCCCAGGACTCTGAGATCATGACCTGAACTAAAGGCGGCGCTTAACGGACTGAGCCACCCAGGCACCCCCTCTATAAGTTATATTAACATAAGAGTGCTCCACGAGGTCTGATTTACAGATGAATAATCAAACTCATCAAACCCAATGATCGGTTTACTTGTTTATTGTGTTAACTTCCACCTTCCCTCTACTCCCACCCTGATACCATCATTAGAATGTAGACTCCATGAGAACAGGAACCTTTTCTGTCTTATTGACCCCTGAGTTCCCAGCACCTAGAATATACACTCCGGCACATGGGCAGTAATTAAATGCTAAGTGTTAAATAAAATCAAACACATGCTATGGAGGCATTTTTGGCTATAACAACTGCGGGGTATGCACAGGTATCCTGGAGCCAGAAATACTAATTAAGTATCCTACAATTCACAGGAGAGCCCCTCACAACAAAGATAATCCAACCTGAAATGTCAGTAGTACCAAAGTTGGGGAATCCTGCCTTAGAGGAAAGAGGAAAAAGAATTAGCTTGATTCATGTAAGACTTGGGTTTGAGTCCCTGGAAGAAGAAAAGGGCCTCCAGCCCTTTTAATATACCCTTTGGGTATATTAAAATTCAGTCAAGACACTGCTGGCTCTCAACCCAAGAATACATCTAATGTGGCTTTTAAAGATTTTATTTATTTATTTGACAGAGAGAGACACAGCGAGAGAGGGAACACAAGCAGGGGGAGTGGGAGAGGGAGAAGCAGGCTCCCCGCTGAGCAGGGAGCCCGATGTGGGACTCGATCCCAGGACCCCAGTATCATGACCTGAGCCGAAGGCAGACGTTTAACGACTGAGCCACCCAGGTGCCCCTAATGTGGCTTTTAGCGACTGATTCACTGGTGTGAGCTTTTTCACTAGTGCTGCAGTGTCTGCAGAACACAAAACAATGAAATATTTCCAACAAATAGAAACTGAGGACTCTCCTTATATATAAAAGAATATTATGTTAAGAAAAAGAATATCCCAGGAGAAAAATACGCAAAAGACCTGACCCATACACATTCCAAAAGACTGACAAAAGGCCAAAGAATATGGAGGAAAATGCTCAACTTCATTAGTAGTCAAAGAAATGCAATGTGAAACAATGATGCATTTAAAAAAATTTTTTTATTATTATTTTTTAAAGATTTTATTTATTTATTCATGAGAGACAGAGGCAGAGGGAGAAGCAGGCTCCCCGCGGAGCAGGGAGCCTGATGCGGGGCTCGATCCCAGGACCCTGGGATCATGACCTGAGCCGAAGGCAGACGCTTAACGACTGAGCCACCCAGGCGTCCCTGCATTTTTTTTTTAATCCATCAGATGGGCTAGAATGAAATAGACTGATGACACCCACAGTGGGTGAGAGTACAGGACAGCAGGCAGTATTGGTACAATTCCTTGGCAGTGGGATTTCAAATGATTTTTTTCCTTCTGTTTTTCAACATTGCTCTTCTAAAAAATGAGCTTTTAACTTCTGAGTCATGATGCTGTTGTCATCTGAAATAAAATCCCCAAATTATAGAAATACATATTACACGTATATGCATACAGACTTTTCAATAAAACGTTACTATGCCTGCCCTAGTTCAGGGCCAACTCTTTCTGCCACCTAGCTTCCTCCACATTGCACTGTAATCGGATCCTCCTGAAAATAAAACTGACTCTGTCACTTCCTTGCTTGAAACTCTTCAGTGGATCCCATTCCAGGGGATCCCTCACACAGGTAGCATCAGGGCACCCTCCCAGATCTGACGTTCTCCAGCTCTCCTCCTTGTCCTCCCTCACACTTTTGGTGTAGACTCGACACAGTGCCTGTGACCTTTGTAGCTGCCTTGCTTTACTCTTTTAATTTGCCTGGAATTCCTACAGCCCCTTCCCTGCCAGGGCACCCTGACCTGAAGTTCCTACAGTTCCTTGGGCTTACAGGCCATTATTTCACTTAGCACAGAGCCTAGAAATCCTAGTCCTCTTCCTCCTTACAAACCAGGCTCTTAACTTTTCTATCTGCTGTGCTACCACACCACCTGCCTGGTGAATAGAACGCTTAACATTTAAAGTGCTTTGTTCATTACCGTGTTTTCCTAGTTCTGATACTTTGTTTCATTTTTCTGATTGTTTGATATGTTCATTATTGAGTTTAGAAAAGTCTTTGTGGTTCTACAGACATACATTAGAATCTGATTATCCTAACTTTTTAACTGTATCTTTCTCTGTAAGCCGAAGTTCATCCTATAAACCTTAGAAACTGACTATAGACCCCAATTGCATTTAAAACTAAGTAAGAACCATCTCCCACTGGTGTTTTCCTTTTGAAAAGGAAAATAGCTGAAGGCTGTTGGGAGGAGGTCATCGAGAGGACATGACTGCTAGTTCATCCATGAGCTGGACTTGGGCCTTCAGAAGCTGCTCACCCCCTCCCCTGTCCTTGGAATGTATATTCTGCCCACCGTTCGCACAGTGGGAGCTGGTCCAAGGACATACCTTTGAGAGAGCAGAGTGCTGTTGAGAGATCTGGATGGTGTATGTGACTGAACCCAGTTAAGCCCTCTTTTTTTTTTTTAAAGATTTTATTTATTTATTTGACAGAGAGAGACACAGCGAGAGCAGGAACACAAGCAGGGGGAGTGGGAGAGGGAGAAGCAGGCTTCCCGCGGAGCACGGAGCCCGATGTGGGGCTCGATCCCAGGACCCCGGGATCATGACCTGAGCCGAAGGCAGACGCTCAGCGACTGAGCCACCCAGGCGCCCCAGTTAAGGCCTCTTTATAAACTTTCATGATTCTGGCAGGCGGATGCAGGGATCTGCTCACCCTGTAGGCACCCAAGACAAGCCTTGTAACAAGTAAGTTCCCTTGTTTATTAAAGCCCCTACCTACCAGTCTGGAGGGGTCTGCCTCTTTCTTTGGTCTCTCCCAGCCCTCCATGTACAAGGGCCAGTTTCAGATTATACCCAGGAAGCTCCTGAGGAGGCTGCAGACCGACAAAGGCAGTTTATAGCTTCTTCCAGAACACAGAGACAGATTTCCAGAGAAGGCAATGGCTTTGAGATAGACTTATTTAAAAGAAAAAAAGAAAAAAAAAGAAGGGAGAGAAGATAAGTCAGGAAACTTGGATACGATCTGAATTTTAAAAAATATAATTTTGGCTTTAGTTTGTGAACGCTGTCATTTTGAGGCTTCAAGGAGACTGCCTACAGGTGACACACCAACACTTTCACCTTGGTAGAAAGCTTTTAGAATGTCCCATCAATGACTAGAGCTAAAGGAAACTGGTGTTCGCCCTCCTAAGTACCTGGATGTGACCAAATCAATACATCCCCTGCCAAACAGTTGTGTATAGCTTACGGGTTTTCAAATGAGGTCTTGATTTATTCGGCTAATGACCAACACACATGATCACAAATGTCCCCTCCCATCCTATTAAGCTTTCTAGGGCAGTATATAAAGGTGCTAATGCAAATGGATAAATTAAAGGGGCAAACTAGGAAAACTGGGGAAATAATGCCCTTTACTCATAAAAATGCTTCATTTCACCTGGAGAATTAGATATGATTAATATCTATATGCAAGTTTATATGACACCTCATTCTCATAATTTAAAAGTGTACTCCAAGGGGGGCCTGGCTGGCTCAGTTGGAAGAGCTTGTGACTCTTGATCTCTGGGTTCTGAGTTCGAGCCTCACATTGGGTGTAGAGATTACTTAAATAAATAAAACTTAAGAAAGTGTAATTCAAGGCTAAAAAAGGTTCTTTTTAGACCAACGTAAAGCCACAGAACATACCTTTCTTGATCTAATCAAGGTATAGTCAATACTGAAACACATGGCAACTTTTTGAAGAAGGATTAAAATAAAGGGAACGTTCTCAAGTTTTCTCCAAAGTATTTCAGCTGTTGCCAATGGAAGGTGCTGCTGATGTAACGAGCAACACTTGTCAGTCTGACACTGGTCTAAGTAATCTTGATTATCTTATTTCTGGAGAATGGAAAACTGTAGGAGTTTGCATAGTAAATCACCTAGTGAGACTGGTCTTACAAAGAGGAAATTCTCCATAAGAGCTACCTGGGCCAAACTGTAATCCCATACCACACAAGCATGTTCAGTACATGAGGAGGCTCTGCAGGGGAAAACAACATTAACCATAAAAACTACTGACTTCTCTCATCACTTTAAGAGTGGAAAGAACTTATTTGATCAAACCCTTGTTTCAACCGGATCATCATGTCAGATTTCCTCCCTATAAATAGCCAAATTATTACCGGGTTCTAATGTTGGGCGAGAAGATGTTTACACTATACCTTTGATCTTAGGATAAACCAGACAGTTAAACCACTTCAAAATGTGCAAACACACGTGTTTTCCTCGAGTTATCCGGGCTCTGCGAAGTACCTTTCAAGTGACCCACAAGTCCCACCTACTAAACAGCCACACAGGTGAGAGCGAAATTCAGGCTTCCAACAAAAACTGTCAAATGTTATCTGGCCAAAACTGCCATTCCCGAGGACAGCGTGTCAGGTCGTCCAGTCAGTCTTAGATTCCTCTGCATTCCTCTGCAACTGCTTTCCTGACCTTGAGCCTCTCACCCGCGACTGGGCGGAGAGTCGAGGTCAGAGGAAGTGAAAGTCAACAAGCGCTTACTCAGCAGGGCATTGTGTCGCTTCAGGTAGGCGATTATGTCTCCTTGCTTTTCAACGATGTCTTCTAGGCTTGAAATAGTCCTGCAAAGAATCAGCATATTCACCAATACTCATTCCTCTCTTTGCAAATGGGTCCCCTCCCAGTTTTCAGTACAGCATACTGTAGTTGTGACTTTTTCTTAAGATGTTGTAAGCCAAGGTAATATTCCAAAATGAGATTCTTTCATTAGACTTGGTTTTATCCAGCTGAATGGGAGTAAGCAAATCAAACTTAATTCTAAGGGCACATATGCGTAATCATAAACTCCAAGCGTAAGAATGTTTTCTAGATATCCGGGGCAGGGGGGAGGAACCTTATAATTCTCTTTCTGTAGTCTTTCATTCCCCACCCAAAGCTTACCTGAATCCAGTCTCCGAGGTAATATTGCTGGGGTAAGCATAGATTTTTTCTTCTTCAAGTACATCAGGCTGTGGTTTGGCTTTATTAAATTTTCGAATTTTCACTAAAATAATAAAGTCATTATTGTCAGGTTATCTAATTATGAAAAAAACTTTTACTTCCATTTTTTCAAATTATATTAATTGGCTATGCTTTTCAAGTAAGTTAATGCGGATAAAAATGCTTCATAAAGTGAATAAACAGGTTTGAATACTGATGCACTCAAGCCTTTGAAAGTCTATGTGCCAGGCCTGAACTAAACACTGGGAACACAGAGAGCATCATTATTGTTGATAATAGTAACAGCTATGATTTTTTTGTGAATTTAAAACACAGAAGAAGGCACGGGTGAACTCTTGTGCATGGACGGCCTCATCCAGTTCTCAGAATCACCCCCTGAAGTAGATGCCCTTATTACGCATACTTCCTACAATAAAGTGAAGCCCAGGGGAGTTAAATATGTAGCCAGGTTTCCAATCCAGGAATCATGACTTTGAAGCCTCCACTGTTGATACTACCCTATAAAAAGCGCTACTGGTCCAGGGAAAAATACAGATGATAACTCTACATTCCAAGACAATATGAAAAGAACCAAAATCAAAGCTTGCACAAGGAGCTGTGACAGCCCTGGAAAGCAGCCCCTTAACTAAGCAGGAGTGGGATGGGAGGGAAAACCATGGAGAAGGAGGATGGTAGGGCGTGAGTCCAGCCTTGAGGGAAACACGAGAATTAATCGCACAAACTAGGGGAAGAGAGAAGAAGGATGTTTTAGGTACAGGAAGAGCCTGAACAAATACTTAGGACCTTGAGGAGTGGTGTGGGTGCGTGCGTGCGTGCGTGCGTGCGTGTCTGTGTGTATGAGGGGGTGGAAAGGTAGGCAGGGAAGACGTGAGTGACTGGTGTTGCCATGTCAAGGCATTTAGATTTTGTCCTGAGGGTAAATGGGAGTCACTAGCTCACCATCATCCCTGAAGGGCAGGGCTGAGTAGGGCCAGCTCATGGAGAGCCTTTTATGCCACACCAAGATTTCAGATTTTCTTCCCTAGGCCTTTAAGAAAACTCTGAACAGGGAAGTTGTTAATGATCAGAGTTATCTCTGAATACAATTACACTGGCAGGAGAAAGGAATACGAATTAAGAGGACAGAGGAAGGGAGACCAGTAACGTGCCTGCTGGAATCATCCACGCAGGATGTGAGGGGCGTCTGATCGAGGCAGTGGAATGACAGAGGAGAGGAGACAGATGTGGGAGGCAGGCAGACTGAACAGGACTGATAACTGAGGGAGGGAGAGTAAGGTGGAAGGAAATCCAGGACGACAAAAAGGTCAGATTGAGCAAGAGCTGCGGGCTGGCACTGTTAGCTGAGCTAGGGGAGGAGGGACAGGATGGGGGAAGGTTTGGAAGAAGAGAAGGATGTCCAGGTCCCTCTGTCTTGCTACACTGCAACGCCTGGATGGAAATGATCACCAAGCAGGTGACGATAAAGGTTTGGGTGGCTCTGTTCATCTGAGGGCTGCCCCCTAGTGTGTAGATGGGTAACTTTTAGTATGTAGAGAAAAAGGACGTGGGAACGCTGAAACCTGCCAGTATTAAAGAGGTGGGGAAAAATCTGTTAAAAGGGAATGGAAATGAATCTCCAGAGAGGAAGGAGGAGAACCGGGAAAGAGCAGTCGGTGTTCACTGCCAGAAAGGTGAAGACATGGAGAGGACCCAGGGGATGTGGCAGTTTGAAGGCCACCGATGAACTTGGCCGTTTGTGGGGATAAGCGATGTTATGGACTGAACTCTGTTCCCCGAAAATTGACATGTTGAAGCCTCATCCCTGATGTGACTGTCTTTGGGGATAGGGCCTTCGGTGAGGTAATCAGCATTAAATGAAGTACTAAGGGTGGGGCCCTGATCTGACAAAAGAGACACCAGGATGTGCTTGCACAGAGCACAAGGCCGTGTGAAGACAGAGCCAGAAGGCAGCTCGAGAAGAGAGGCCTCCAGAGAAACCAAGCTTGACCACACCTTGACCTTGGACTGGCAGCCTCCAGAACTGTGAGAAAATGAATCTGTGTGGTTTTAGTCACCCAGTCCAGGTACTGCACTGTGGCGGCCACAGCAGATGACTGCAATTTGGGGGGGGGGGGGGGCTGGCGTGGCAAGGAGGCAGAGAACAGACACAGTGAAGGCGCCGTTCCCCACCTCTCAGGGGTGACAACAGGCCAGGACAATTCACACCTCTGGATAATCGTTAACTGGGCTGGGGCTTTGCCCTGCCTGAATAATAACTCTGGGACGGGGCTGGAATGAGTAGTCAGTTTCCACCAGAGATGGCTACAAGGGGGGAGAAAGCCAGGGTTGGAGGCCGGGACTGTCAACTGGGACTGAACACGAGAACTGTATGCGCCAGGCCTCATGAATGAGGGGGAGGGGAAATGGGTTAGACTCCGGCACCACATTTTTTAAAAGCTCCACATGCCATTCTTTCCCTTTTTATAACAACTTTTCAGATATAATTCACGTATCATGCATTCACCCGTTTGAAGTATACAATTCAATGGTTCAGTATTTCAAATTGTGCAACCACCTCCACAGTCGATTTTAGAACATGTTCATCACCCCAGAAAGGAACCCGGTATCCATTAGCAGTCATTCTTCATTTGCCTCCTGCCCCCAACCCCAGCTCTAGGCAACCGCTAATCTATTTCCTCTCTCTATACTTGTGCCTGTTCTGGGCATTTCGTATCCACGGACTCATACAATAGACTGTCCGTAATGGCTGCTTCCACTTAGGATAACGTTTCAAGGCTCATCCACATTGTAGCACATATCAGTACATCAGTCCATGTATTCATTCCTTTTTAGGACTGAAAAATATTCTATTGTATCGATCAAACACATTTTGTTTATCTCTTCATCAGTTTATCCTGATATCAATTAGATGGTTTCTCTTTGGGCTTTTATAAACAGCGCTTCCTTGAACAATCGTGTACATGTTTCTGTGGCGATGTCTTGGATATAAACGCGGAGTCACGTGACACTCTGTTTCTCCTTTTGTGGAACTGCCAGGCTCCACATATGATTTTTTTTTTTTTTTAAGATTTTATTTATTTGACAGAGAGCCACAGCGAGAGAGGGAACATAAACAGGGGGACTGGGGGAGGGAGAAGCAGGTTCCCCGTCGAGCAGGGAGCCCGATGTGGGACTCGATCCCAGGATTCTGGGATCATGACCTGAGCCGAAGGCAGCCGCTTAACGACTGAGCCATCCAGGTGCCCCAAACTGTCTTATTTATAATTAATTATAAATGCTACAGCAAATCCTTTAAAAAGTACAGTAAGTCCTAGAGAAATAAATCTTGGACTACATTTTAACAGTATTAATTTCCCCTTATTTACATGATGACATTCACATGATCTTTGGAATATTGTCACCTCCTTCTATGTCACAGAGCATTCTATAGGTATTACAGAAAATACTACAAGAAGGCTTGCACCCCTTGTAGTAAATGAAAGTTGTAGAGTACTAAAATAACAGGCTAAGTGAATTCTATATTTGGATCTCAACTATGACCTCATTTACAGCATTTGACAGACATGTTGTAGATTGGAACTGATCTCAATCAACAAGGTTAATTCAATATTCATTTGTCATATGGATCACTTTATGGAAACAGCAAGCTGTTTCTTATATACCGAAAAATTAACCTTACTTTAAAACTAGTCTCATTCTTTTCTAGGAAGTTAAGTGGGTGATACACATTTATTTTTTTAAAGTGAGGTACAAAATGTAATCCTCTCCATAATTTGGCTCATCGTTAGCTGATAACTATAGAAAAATTTACAAAGATCAATCAATAATGTGACATTCACATTTACAAACTAGTCGCCCTGTTCATATTCTAAACACTCTTCTGTAGGCCTAAGGAGATGCACAGAAAAAAAAAAAATCAGTAAAATGAAACATAAGCTGAGACCCATGTGACTTTGTCCTTCATAACAAAAAGAAATGACATCTTTCAAAATGGATACACGAGATATTTTATTGTCACAAAATAACTGTTATGCAGTGCCAGAAAATAAGCTACTATTTTGGACAGGTTTTACTGCATGTCAATATTGCAACAGGAATGAAATCTAGATTTTTCCAGGGCTTGAATTTTTTTCTGTTAAAAGTATCCTTCCATCTATTTTTCATGTTAACATATCTAAAGTTTACTTTTATTTTTTTTTTAAGATTTTATTTATTCACTTGAGACACAGAGATACAGAGAGAGAGAGAGAGAGCGAGCATGAGCAGGGGGAGAGGCAGAGGGAGAGGGAGAAGCAGGCCTCCCGCCGAGCCAGGAGCCTGATGCGGGGCTCGATCCTAGGACTCTGGGATCAGGACCCGAGCTGAAGGCAGACGCTTAACCATCTGAGCCACCCAGGCGCCCCTAAAGCTTACTTTATTTTTTGAAAAGATTGTTTATTTTAGAGGGAGAGAGAGATTCCTCAAGCAGACTCCCCGCTGAGCACAGAGCCTGATGTGGGGCTCGATCCCAGGATCCTGAGATCATGACCTGACCCGAATTCAAAAATGAGCCACTTAACCAACTGAGCCACCCAGGTGCCCCTCTAAAGTAAAGCTTACTTTAATTTTACCAATGAGAGTTCTGAGAGAGAGAGACAGAGAGACAGACAAACAGACCAACCCTCAGACAGCTCTAAATTTAGAAAATGAGTTCATAGGGGCGCCTGGGTGGCTCAGATGGTTAAGCGTCTGCCTTCGGCTCAGGTCATGATCCCAGGGTCCCGGGATCGAGTCCCGCATCGGGCTCCCTGCTCTGCGGGGAGCCTGCTTCTCCCTCTGCCTCTCTCTCTCTCTCTGTCATGAATAAATAAATAAAATCTTTAAAAAAAAAAAAAAGAAAGAAAATGAGTTCATAAATGGTTTACCCTAAAGCAAGTCCGGGATAAATGCAGTTTCACATGCATTATTTATTTATTTACTTATTTTGTATTTCGTCATTTCAAATTTAAAGATTTTTTAAAAAAATTTATTTATTTATTTATTTGAGACAGAGAGAACGAGAGAGAGAGCACATGAGAGGGGGGAGGGTCAGAGGGAGAAGCAGACTCCCCACCGAGCAGGGAGCCAGATATGGGACTCTATCCAGGGACTCCAGGATCATGACCTGAGCCGAAGGCAGTCGCTTAACCAACTGAGCCACCCAGGCACCCCTCGTCATTTCAAATTTAAATGCCAGACTTACATCTCAGTTGCCTTTGAAGAAGCAGATGTTTGTGGGCCTTTTTAATTTTTTTTTTTTTAATGATAAGGTATCACTTGACTTGACAAAAATTAGTTGATGACACAAATTTAGGAGCATCACTCACTGGTATCTTGCTGTTGGTTTGAAACTGAGGAAGTCTGGATGTGGTCAGTAATGAAAGGTAAACAGGCTCGCAGCTGCTAGAGAAGCCTTGCCATGAAGATAATGGCCACGCTTCCCATTATCAGGGATGAAACAAGCAGTCAGAGGTCTTTAGCCCAACAGTCTCGTTGTAATTCTCACCTGTGTAAACGAGCAGACACGTCAGGGAACAGATGAGTTCCAGGGCCAGGATGGCCAGGATGAGGTCAAGATACAACCTGCTGGGCTCCGGGAAGGAGTGCTGCACGCACAGCACGAGGAGGAGAGCTGTGCTGCCTGAGGAGGAGAAAGAAGCGCGGGGTTAGCAGAGGCCCGTGGGGGCCCACACGGCAGGGGCAGGCGCGCACCCAGGCCCTTCTCTACTGAGCAGCGAAGGAAGCTAAAGTAAAAAGCCCAAACTGCTGCTCTCTTGAGGGAAAAACCCCAACACGTCAAAGAGTTAATGATGCCTCCAAAATACAATTACGTAAGAATCTGGATTTTCTTAAAAACTAAGAAATGATTTTTTGCTCTATAAAATGATTAACAATGGCACTGTGTGGAGTCCCATGTGCATTTAAAAAGGGATGCAGGGGCTCCTGGGCGGCTCAGTCGGTTAAGCGTTGGACTCTTGATTTTGGCTCAGGTCATGATCTCAGGGTCATGGGATCGAGCCCCTTGTCGGGCTTCACGCTTAGCATGGAGTCTGCTTGTCCTTCTCCCTCTGCTCCTCCCCCTGCTCTCTCTCTCTCAAATAAATAAACAAATAGGGATGCAGTTTTTAGAAATTTGCATTATCCCAGTTCTTCAGAATCCAGAGGCACTTGAGGACCCTCATGGCCCATTCTGGTCACATAAGGTAACAACAGAGAACTGCACGGAGGTCAAGAATGTTGCAGTTATGGGGACCGCGTGGGTGGACAACTGGGACACGCTGCTGACTGTGGACAAATGACCTGACACCTCTGCTCCTCAACTTGTCTGAAAAATGGGAATGGCAGTACCTTCCTCACAGTGCTCTTGTGAGGAATAAATGAGTTAATATGTGAAAATTACTTAGAATGGTGCTTGGCAACTATTTGATAAATATGAACTGTCCCCCCCCCCACACACTTAGCATATCTATTATTTGGTTTTGAAGACCATTAGCCTTGTTCTGTACTTTTATTTTGAAAAATACAGCATAGAAGAAAAATAAAATTCTGGAGCAAAGAGGCTGGGTCTTGCCATCGTGTAGGGTATGACTGAGTCTGCCACAGGGACCTGCTTGGAGGAAGGGCTATATGGCGGTGTGCCTGGGATTGTGAAAGATTACACGAAGCAAAAATTATTATTATGTAAAGATTTTATGTATTTATTTGTCAGAGAGAGAGAGAAAGAGCACAAGTTGGGGAATGGCAGGCAGAGGGAGAAGCAGGCTCCCCGCTGAGCAAGGAGCCCAATGTGGGGCTCGATCCCAGGACCCTGGGATCATGACCTGGGCTGAAGGCAGATGCTTAACCGACTGAGCCACCCAGGTGCCCCGAAACCAAAATTATTATAATAATGCTGATGATACCTACCATTTATTGAATACCTACTAGGCACTGTTAGTTCACTTCTTCCTACAACAGAGTTTGTGTGAGAAATACTATTTCCCCAATTTTATACAGAGAAGATGTCAGGCTAAAGCTAATCACTATCTGACAATACTATCACCTGCCATTGAAACAATGGTTACACTCATCTGATTAGCTGGACGTTCTATGTCTTCATGGATTTACCTTTTTATTCTTCATATAAGAAAAAAATACTTAAAAGAAAATAGAAACAAGGTTAATACCTGCCCCAATCTCTTTGGTTTTCTGGGTCCTTATATAAGCAACATAAAAGTGATGCCATCTGTGATTAAAATAAGGGTCCAATTGCTTAGAAACATTAAGTGTCATATGTTAGCAAGAATTTCAAAGTGAGGGCGCTGGGGTGGCTCAGTCGTTAAGTGTCTGCCTTCAGCTCAGGTCATGATCCCAGAGTCCTGGGATGGAGCCCCGCATTGGGCCCCCTGCTCGGCCAGGAGCCTGCTTCTCCCTCTCCCACTCCCCCTGCTTGTGTTCCTGCTTTCGCTCTCTCTCTCTGTCAAATAAATAAATAAATAAAATATTAAAAAAAAAAAATTTCAAAGTGAGCGGAAAGGTAAAGATCAGACAATCCCTTGGTGGGCCTCAAAAATACTATTTCCAGGGGCATCTGGGTGGCTTAGTCGTTGAGCGTCTGCCTTCGGCTCAGGTCGTGATCCCAGGGTCCTGAGATCGAGCCCTGCATGGGGCTCCCTGCTTGGCGGGAGGCCTGCTTCTCCCTCTCCCACTCCCCCTGCTTGTGTTCCCTCTCTCGCTGTGTGTCTCTCTCTCTGTCAAATATACAAATAAAATTTAAAAAAAAACAAAAAAAAAACAATTTCCAGACCGCTCACTTGAGAGACTGAACATTATTTTGGTCATAATGCATATAAGGTCTTTAAGTTAAAAATGTGTTTTGGTTGGGGCGCCTGGGTGGCTCAGTCGTTAAGCGTCTGCCTTCGGCTCAGGTCATGATTCGGGTCCTGGGATCGAGCCCCGCATCGGGCTCCCTGCTCCGCGGGAAGCCTGCTCCTCCCTCTCCCACTCCCACTGCTTGTGTTCCCTCTCTCGCGGTGTCTCTCTGTCAAATAAATAAATAAAATCTTAAAAAAAAAAAAAAAGGGTTTTGGCTTTTATCTTTGTGGGTGGGAGGAAAGGTTATAGTGACATCTCCTGGCCAAAAGCAAGTACTACACAACAGCTGCTGAACATACAAGCCAAGGTCTTCCTCAGGGAGCAGTAAAAATGTCCCCCCTTTCGTGAAGAGTCAACATCAGCCATCTCTATAAAATGCTTCTCTGTTATCGCGGGGCCCTGCAGCTTCCATTGAGAACATCACTGAGCGGATGAACTCGCAGCTTGCCCTTTAAATTCTGTAAAGGTGTTTTTTTGGGAAAAAAATTAATTTCAAATCTGGTTTCAAAATGTCTAAAAGTACTTATTCCGGACTCAAACTGAAAAAGAGGGTCTTTTAAAAAGGTAGGAACTTTGAACACCAAGGCAAAAATACCTAAAGAAGTTCAATTTAATTCCATTCAGCCTTTAAAATGTTTGCAACAGGGCGCCTGGGTGGCTCAGTTGGTTGAGCGACTGCCTTCGGCTCAGGTCATGATCCTGTAGTCCCGGGATCGAGTCCCGCATCCGGCTCCCTGCTCGGCGAGGAGCCGCTTCTCCCTCTAACCCTCCCCCATCTCATGTACTCTCTCTCTCTCTCTCATTCTCGCTCTCTCAAATAAATAAATCTTTAAAAAAAAAAAAAACTTGAAAATCTGAACTGCTATTCTCTTAAAAAAAATTAAAAATAAAATGTTTTTAACAATAAACAAAGTGGGTACTAATGCAGCTAAGTCCTGTACGGACTTTCTGACCTTGCCTTCATAAAGTGTTTTTCAAGTTTTCCATTTTGGATAATGCATTTTATTATATCACAGTCTCTCACTGAAAGAAAAACCCTGAACTTCATTTAAAGTAAAGCAATTCCTTCCTCTTATCCTCCAAGTATCAAATAGCAACAGCATTTGTATCGTCTTGAGAGGATTAAGATGGCTCCTACCAAAGCGGGGGGTCTACATTACACACAAGCAGATACGTGGACAACATGTTCACAATGATGGGGGGCAGAAAATGCCACCCTAAAATACACTTTCTAGGCATGAGGATTATTTTAAGCTGATTATTTTTAAGAAACAGCGGACACAGGTGGAGCTCTGAAAGCTGAGTAGCATTTACCCTTTTGTAAGAGACAGTTACAAGGGAAAATTACAGGCGTGTCCTCCTCTCTGTCCAGGAAGAGAAGGAAGATTGTAAATTTCTAGAAACAATTATCCACAGAGAAGGCACAGACTTAAATCTGCATAACAATCTCACCGTTGTTTACAGAGCTTTGCTGGTAACCTCCCTTAACTCCTCCAACCGCCTCACCACATCTCTGGTCTCTTGGGCTAGAGATGGTATTTAAGGTGGTGGCGTGGCCCATCTGGAGAGTTACTCAGTTTTCTTGGGTCTCTCCCAAGTACACAGGAGGTATGCATGTTACTAAACTTCTGTTTATTTTTCTCGTTAAGCTTTTATTACAGTGCAGTCTCAGCCACAAATCTACCTAGAAGGGTAGATGGACATTTTTTTCCCCTCCCCTATGATAACAAACACAGATGTCAAAGGAATATTAAGACTATATTGGGGCGCCTGGGTGGCTCAGTCAGTTAAGCGTCTGCCTTTGGCTCAGGTCATGATCCCAGGGTCCTGGGATCAAGGCCCGCATTAGGCTCCCTGCTCAGCGGGGAGACTGCTTCTCCCTCTCCATCTTCCCATGCCCTGCTGTGTTCTCTCTCTCTCTCTCTCAAATAAATAAAATCTTTAAAAAAAAAAGAAAATTAAGACTATATTATTGGGAAAAGTTTTCAATTAGCAATCAGTGCACCTCAGGGAAACCTCATTGGCTACGATATTGTCCCTTCAAGCCATTAAGGTGATCCAAATTTCAGTGGCCACAACACACATCACTCTGACAAACATGAGAGAATGTATTTGATTATAAAGTCAAACCTCACATTTTCTTTCTGCTGGCATTTCTGCCACGCCAGCTAGCCACAGACAAGCTGAGCCAGACTCACCGGTTGAGTGTATCATCAGTGCAAGTCCTTTAAGATGCCTTGTGGATAGGTAGATCGTGTTATAGCCTCGGTTTCTGACTTTGCTGTGGTGGTACTGGATGTAGCGTTCGAGAAGGAAATGCAGAATCCACAAAATAACTTTTCCAAGGATTATGACGGTCTGCACTTTCAATGGGTTGATATAGTTCCCTGGGCACTTGTCCTCAATTGGATTAGGGTAAGAGCAAAGTACACCTGTTAAAAATGCTAAAATGACAAATACAACCTGGCGGAAAGGAAAGCAGTAGGATTAATATTCAGTATTTGGAATTAAAAAATGATGATCACCATCCCAGCACATACTCATACCTATGACTTTTGCTATTATAAATGAATCTAAAAACAACTTTTTTTGCCATTTTACAAACGTTTTAAACAGAAAATTTGGAGAAAAATTTGCAGAAAATTTGGAAACAAATCACAAATAAGAAAAGTCACCCTAAATCCCATCTAACAGAGATGAGTACTTAATGTTAAACAATTTCTTGCCCACTTCTTTTATTGAAGAGTAAATACAGTTAATTTAGTGCTTCAGAGGTAACTAATAAAAATCACGGTTTAAAAAACTTTATTTCTAGTTTCAGTTTTTTTTTTTTTAAAGATTTTATTTATTTATTTGACAGAGAGAGAGATAGCGAGAGCAAGAACACAAGCAGGGGGAGTGGAGAGGGAGAAGCAGGCTTCCCGCTGAACAGGGAGCCCGATGTGGGACTTGATCCCAGGACCCTGGGATCATGACCTGAGCCGAAGGCAGACGCTTAACGAATGAGCCACCCAGGCGCCCTCTAGTTTCAGTTTTAAGAGAACAAAAATAACTATCCAGTTGGATTGACAAAAAATTAAAAGACTGGTGCCATAATACAGGCAAACAGACATTCTCATATATTGCTACTGGTCTGGAAAGAGATGTGGAAAAAGAATTTGGAAGCATCTTGACTCAGTAATCCTGTCTTAAGGACTCTACCCATCAGAAGTAAAAGCACCAGTATAGAAGGTTCTATGGATATGAATATTTACTGCAGGATTCTCTATATTTGCAAAAAACTGAAAATTGCCCCAAGGATATGTGTTCATTCATAGCAGAATGCCTGAATAAATTACGATACATCTACTTGTGGGGCACCTGGGTGGCTCAGTCGTTAAGCGTCTGCCTTCGGCTCCGGTCATGGTCCCAGGGTCCTGGGATTGAGCCCCACGTTGGGTTCCCTGCTCCGCAGGAAGCCTGCGTCTCCCTCTCCCACTCCCCCTGCTTGTGTTCCCTCTCTCCCTGTCTCCCTCTGTCAAATAAATAAAATCTTAAAAAAAATTTTTTTTAAAAAAAAAGATAGATCTACTTGTACAACAGAATATTATTTGGCTATAAAAAAATTAACTAAATCTCCCTGTAATTTGGATGGATGTCTGTATGTTAAGATTAAAAGAAGTTGTAGAGTAGTAGTTCAAAGTGTGGTTTACAGACCAGCACAATCAGCATCACAAGGGAACTAGTTAGAAAGGCAAATTCTCAGATCCCACCCCAAACCAGCAGAATCAAAAATCTCTGGGGGTGTCACCGAGCTATCTAGTTTAATAAGCCTGCCAGGGAGTCTGTCGCATGCTGAAGTACGAGAAACACCTCTGCAGAATAATAAATACAGATTATCCCACTGGGGGATGGGGGAGGAAATGGGGGAAATCCTTTTATATATGTACTAATCTTTTTGTGTATATATACATATATATGTATGCATATATATGTATACAAAATATATGTATGATATATATAAAGGTATAATATATGCCCAGCACACAGGACCCTGAGATCAAGACCTGAGCTGATGGGCGCCTGGGTGGCTCAGTTGGTTAAGCGACTGCCTTCGGCTCAGGTCATGATCCTGGAGTCCCTGGATCGAGTCCCGCATCGGGCTCCCTGCTCGGCAGGGAGTCTGCTTCTCCCTCTGACCCTCCCAACCCTCCCCCCTCTCATGTGCTCTCTCTCTCAGTCTCTCTCTCTCAAATAAATAAATAAAATCTTAAAAAAAAAAAAAAAGACCTGAGCTGAAATCAACAGATGGTCACTTAACTGACTGAGTCACCCAGGTGCCCCTCTTCTTGTATATATTTGTAAGAATTGAATGAAAGGCACTGAGATACACCCATTTATTAACTTGGGGAGAAGGGCTGAAGCAGAGAAAAGGGAAGATACGATTTTATCTTTGTACACTTTGGTAATGTTTTACTTGTAACAATAAGGAAGTTATTTTGTAATTTAAAAAATCAAATAAAGAAAAATATAGCATTAGTATTCATCACAAAACATTCAATAGCAGGCAATCCTAGCATATAATAAATCTATTTAAAATATATGTGATTTGTCTAAGCAATTTGCCAAGAGCAGTCATATTTGCTATGGCAACTCAAGATGCCTATTAGCATAAAGGAAAATTTGAAAGGTCAACAAATTCCTTATCCTGGAAAACACTGTACATTGAACCAAACTGATCCATTTTATATAAAGTAGCATACAGATATTTTTGTTTTTTTAAGTTTTTACTTAAATTTCAGTTAACATATAAGGTAATATTAGTTTCAGGTGTACAATATAGTAATTCAACAATTCCATACACCACCTGGTGCTCATCACAAGTGCACTCCTTAATCCCCCTCACCTAGTTCACGCATCCCTGCCCCCTCCCCGGGAACCATCAGTTTGTTCTCTATAATTAAGTCTCTTTCTTGGTTTGTCTCTCTTTTTTCCCCTTTGCTCATTTGTTTTCTTGCTTAAATTCCACATGCGTGAAATCACATTGGCATTTGTCCTTCTCTATTTTGCTTAGCATAATACTCTCTAGCTCCATCCATGTTGTTGCAAATGACAAGATTTCATTCTTTTTTATGGCTGGGTCATATTCCCAGCCATAAAATATTCTCTTTTTTATCCATTTAACAACTGACGGACACTTAGGCTGTTTTCATAATTTGGTTATTATAAATAATGCTGCAATAAACATCAGGGTAGGGTGCCTGGGTGGCTCAGATGGTTGAGCGTCTGCCTTCGGCTCGGGTCATGATCTCGGGGTCCTGGGATCGGGTCCCGCATCGGGCTCCCTGCTCCTTGGGAGCCTGCTTCTCCCTCTGCCCCTCTCTCTCTGTCTCTAATGAATAAATAAATAAAATCTTTAAAAAAACAAAACAAAACAAAACATCAGGGTACATGTATCCCTTTGAATTAGTGTTTTTGTATTCTTTGGGTAAATACCCAGTAGTGCAATTGCTGGACCATAGGGTAGTTCTATTTTTAACTTTTTGAGGAACCTCCATACTGTTTTCCACAATGGCTACACCAGTTTGCATTCCTACCAACAGTGTAGGTGGGTTCCTTTTTCTCCACATCCTCGCCAACAGCTGTTGTTTCCTGTGTTACTGATTTTAGCCATTCTGATAGGTGTGAGGTGACAGGTCACTGTAGTTCCGACTTGTATTTCCCTGATAAGTGATGTGAGGCAAATTTTCACGTGTCTGTTGGTCATCTGGATGTTTTCTTTGGAGAAATGTCTGTTCATGTCTTCCTGCCCATTTTTTTAATTGGATTTTTTTTGGGGGGTGTTGAGTTTTCTAAGTTCTTTATGTATTTTGGATACTAACCCTTTATCAGGTATGTCACTGGCAAATATCTTCTCCCATTCTGTAGGTTGCCTTTTAGTTTTGTTGTTTCTTTTGCTGTGCATAAGTGTTTTATTTTGATGTAGTCTCAATAGTTTAACTTCTGTTTCTCTTGCCTCAGAAGACTTATCTAGAAAAAAGTTGCTATGGCCGATGGCAGAGAAATTACTGCCTGTGCTCTCTTCAGAGTTTTATGGTTTCAGGTCTCACATTTAGGTCTTTCATCCATTTTGAGTTTATTTTTGTGTATGGTGAAAGAGAATGACGCAGTTTCATTCTTTTGTATGTTGCTGTCCAGTTTTCCCAACACATTTGTTGAAGAGACTGTCTTTTTCCCATTCAATATTCTTTCCTGCTTTGTCGAAGATTAATTGACCATATAATTGCGGGTTCATTTCTGGGTTTTCTATTCTGTTCCACTGATCTCTGTGTCTATTTTTGTCCCAGTACCATACTGTCTTGTTCACTACAGCTTTGTAATAGAGCTTGAAGTCCGGTATTGTGATGCCTCCTGCTTTGCTTTGCTTTTTCAAGATTGCTCTGGCTATTCAGGGTCTTCTGTGGTTCCAGACAAATTTTACGATTATTTGTTCCAGCTCTGTGAAAAATGCTGTTGGTATTTTGATAGGGATTGCATTAAATGTGTAGTTTGCTTTGGGTAGTATAGACACTTTAACAGTATTTGTTCTTCCAATCCATGAGCATGGAATGCCTTTCCATTTCTTTATGTCATCTTCCAATTTTTCATCAGTGTTTTATAGTTTTCAGAGTATAGGTCTTTCACCTCTTTGGTTAGGTTTAGTCCTAGGTATCTTATGGGTTTTGGTGCAATTGTAAATGGCATTGATTCCTTGATTTCTTTCTGCTGCTTCATAATTGGTGTATAGAAATGCAACAGATTTCTGCACATTGATTTTGTATCCTATCGAATTCATTTATTAGTTCTAGCGTTTTTTGGTGGAGTTTTTCAGGTTTTCTACATAGAGTATCATGTCATGTGCAAATAGTGAAAGTTTTACTTCTTCCTTGCTGATTTGGATGCCTCTTCTTTCTTTTTGTTGTCTGATTGCTGAGGCTAGGACTTCCAGTACTATGTTGAATAAAAGTGGTGAGAGTGGACATCCTTATCTTGTTCTTGGCCGTAAAGAAAACCTCAGGTTTTTCCCATTTAGGATGATGTTAACTGTGGGTTTTTCAGATGGCCTTTATGATGTTGAGGTATGTTTCTTCTAGGCCTATTTTGTTGAGGGTTTTTTTAATCACGAATCAATATTGTACTCTGTCAAATGTTTTTTCTGATCTATTGAAATGATTATATGGTTCTTATTCTTTTTTTAAAAATTAATGTGATGTATCATGTTGATTGATTTAGGAGTATTGAACCACCTCTGCAACCCAGGAATGAATCCCACTTGATCGTGGTGAAGTTTTTTTTTTTTTTTTAAGATTTTATTTATTTATTTGACAGAGAGACACAGTGAGAGAGGGAACACAAGCAGGGGGAGTGGGAGAGGGAGAAGTGGGCTTCCCGCCGAGCAGGGAGCCTGATGCGGGGCTCAATCCCAGGACCCTGGGATCATGACCTGAGCCGAAGGCAGACGCTTAACGACTGAGCCACCCAGGTGCCCTGGTGAAGGATTTTTTAAATGTATTGTTGGATTTGGTTTGCTAGTATTTTGTTGAGGATTTTTGCATCTATGTTCATTAGAGATATTGGCCTGTAGTTCTTTGTTGTGGTGTCTTTATCTGGTTTGGGTATCAGGGTAATGCTGGTATTTTTCTTTTTTCTTTTTTTTAAAGAAATATATATATATTATTTATTTATTTATCTTTAAAATTTTTATTTATTTGACAGAGAGAGCACAAGCAGAGGGAGAGGGAGAAGCAAGCTCCCCCCACTGAGCAGGGACCCCGATGCGGGACTCGATCCCAGGACCCTGAGATCATGACCTGAGCCAAAGGCAGCTGCTTAACCGACTGAGTCACCCAGGCATCCCTTTTTCTTGTTTTTTAACACAAGATTTTCTTAGTCCTAAAATTAGGGCAATCGATCACATAGTATCGTAGGCAGGCAATTTAATATAAAAAGGTTTTTCAAAGTCATATGTGTGTATGTTTGTGTGTATGCGGGGGGTATAAATACATACAGAGTATGTTACACAAATTAAAGAAATGTTATTAAAAAAAAAGTAAGAAGAAAAACAGGCCATAATCCAGGGACCAGGAGGCCACCTCTTCAGCTGATAATCTGGGGATCGGGAAGCCATGGCGGAACCACGCCACACTTACTACAACTACACACGGAAACAGGATGCACCTCTCTCCTCAGGGTATTCAGTTCTGAATTCAAGTCTATACAGTGTGTGTTACTGGAGCAGCTGCTGAACGAGTCAATGAACCACATTTATTCTCCTCATGAACATGTGGGATTGCTAAGCATATGCGCTCTTGGTTTTTCACATTGTAGCAAAGAATAACTACATCCCCTAGTGCTTCAGATCTCAATAACCAAAATGGAGATGACTAACAGACTAGCTGCAGAGCCATCAATAAGCCTACACCAAGACCATTCACACAGATAGGTTTTTTGTTTGTTTTTCCATTTAGGGGTTTCTTTTTGTATGTGATGTTGAATTTATTGACTTATTTATTTTTATTGCTATAACTGACCTATAACATTGTGTAAGTTTAAGGAGTACAACTTGGCTTTTTGTTTGTGTTTTTTGTTATTGTTAACTTTTTATCTTATTTTAGTAATCTCTACACCCAATGTGGGGCTCAAACCCACCACCCTGAGATCAAGAGTCACACCCTTCTCCAACTGAGTCAGCCAGAGGCTCCTACAACTTGTTGATTTGATACATTTATATATTGCAATATAATTACCTTCCCAGCATTAGCTAACACCTCTATCACTTCACATAATTACAGCTTCCTTTTTGTGGTAAGAACAATTAAGATATCTAATTTCTTGGCAACACTGAAGTTTATAATACATACAATATGGTTGACTGTAGTCACTATCATTTATCTCTAGGACTGATTTATCTACTAGTTGCAACACATGTGTTTTTAAAAATCCCCAGACATTTGGGGAGCCTGGGTGGCTCAGTCGGTTGAGCATCCGACTCTTGATTTCAGCTCAGGTCATGGTCTCAGTGTCGTGGGATCAAGCCCTGTGTCGGGCTACACACTGAGGCTGGAGCCTGCTTAGGACTCTCTCTCTCTCCCTCTTCCGCTGCCCCCCGTCCCCACTCATGCTCTCTCTCAAAAAAAAAGTCTCCAGATATTTATAATTTTATCATAGTTTAAAATATGGTGCAACAATAAGTATTGTTCTGCTGCAACTTGATTTCTCTGCTTGACATTATTTCCTGTGTAGATAAATTGATAAATTTCTGTGTCAACATACAAAGATTTATCTACATCTTTTTTTTGTTTTAGTAACTGAAAAAGTAATACATGTATATGGCAAAAAAAAAAAAAAACACCTCAAATAGTACAAAAGGCAAATACTAAAAATCTATCAGCTGTGCCTTCTACTGAGGCCCTCAGTCCTCTACCTCAGTGGGAACTAGTATTAAAAGGAACTTGTGAATGCGTCTAGAAATTTTCTGTTTATATACAGGAATATACATGTACACCAGCCCTCTCAATTATCTTTTATTATTTTTTTTAAATTTTATCTGTTTGAGAGAGAGAGAGCAAGCACGAGCGGTGGGGGGGAGTTTATTGGCCTTAAAAACAGACTGAAAGGAGTCTTTCTAGTCAATAATATGGAGGAAATCCATGGAGGATAGAAAATTAAGAATTCTCTTTTTGGATATTTTAAGTGTGAGATGCCCTTTAGACATCTCAGACACTTAACCGACTGAGCCACCCAGCCACCCTGCAATCATCTTTTAAAATGTGCAAATAGGAACATTCTGCGCAATCCTGAATGTATACCTGTATTTGTGAACACTCAACAATGTAAGTGTGAAGACTGGTCTAAATCAATAGATACATATCCACCCTGTTTCATTTTCAACAGGTGCAGAGCATTCCTTCATATGGATGGGACATCAGTGTCCTCTGAATAGTGGTCGTTGCAATATCTTAATATTACAGACAACAGGGCGCCTGGGTGGCTCAGTCGGTTAAGCGACTGCCTTCGGCTCAGGTCATGATCCCGGGGTCCTGGGATCGAGTCCCACATCGGGCTCCCTGCTCTGTGGGGAGCCTGCTTCTCCCTTTCCCACTCCCCCTGCTTGTGTTCCCTCTCTCGCTGTGTCTCTCTGTCAAATAAATAATAAAAATAAAATCTTAAAAAAAAAAAATTACAGGGGCGCCTGGGTGGCTCAGTTGGTTAAGCGACTGCCTTCGGCTCAGGTCATGATCCTGGAGTCCCGGGATCGAGTCCCACATCAGGCTCCCTGCTCAGCAGGGAGTCTGTTTCTCCCTCTGACCCTCCTCCCTCTCATGCTCTCTGTCTCTCATTCTCTCTCTCGCAAATAAATAAAAAACAATCTTAAAAAAAAAAAAATTAAAAAAAAATTACAGACAACATTACTATTATCAACAATATCCTTGGGGTGCCTGGGTGGCTCAGTCGGCTAAGTGTCTGCCTTTGGCTCAGGTCATGATCCCAGGGTCCTGGGATCGAGCCCCGCATCAGGCTCCCTGCTCAACGGGAGACCTGCTTCTCCCTCTCCCACTCCCCCTGCTTGTGTTCCCTCTCTTGATGTCTCTCTGTCAAATAAATAAATAAAATCTTAAAAAAAAAAAAAATACAATATCTTTACATGTGTGCAAATATATCGACAGTAAATTCTTTGACGTAGAGAGATAAGTAAAAAAGTATGCACATTTTAAATGTTGATAGATGTGGCCAAACTGCCCTCTGCAGAGCTTATATATATTTTTAAGAATATTACCTCTGTACGGATTACTTTGTCCCAGCCAACTTACATGTATTAATAAGAGAAGATTTGCTATGATGACTGTAGGAAGAGGATGGAATCTGGGTCTAAACTGGGCATGTAATGAATGATGTGGGAGATGCTGGGTGTCCAGAAGGGGGTCATCTTCAATACTTTGGGTGAGATCCAAAGAACCCTGAGGTACAGAAAAACAGAAGCAAACTATAATCACCACTTTCTAGATTGTGTTTCTAAGACAAATCTATTAAATTCTAAAGCATTAAGTACCATTACACAAGTTAGAGGCAAGAAAAATACACTCCCTACCTAAAGCCAATTTAAAAATATCATAAACTTCTAGGGCGCCTGGGTGGCTCAGTTGGTTAAGCGACTGCCTTCGGCTCAGGTCATGATCCTGGAGTCCCGGGATCGAGTCCCACATCGGGCTCCCTGCTCAGCGGGGGGTCTGCTTCCCCCTCTGCCCTCTTTCCTCTCGTGCTCTCTGTCTCTCATTCTCTCTCTCTCAAATAAATAAATAAAATCTTTAAAAAAAATATATCATAAACTTCTAGGTAACTACTGTATACAAACTGGTGAAAACAAGTATTAAAATGGGTAGAGGAAATCTTACTTCAGTTATCTTCAAATGAGGTAATATATAATGAGGTTAAAGCAAACAATTTTTTCTTTAAGTTCTCAAAACTTAGATTTGATTTATCTAACATTAGATTATTGATGAAATAATTACATATGGTTGCAATTCTTAAACTACATCTTGATGTTTGGAAAGTTGGTGGAGGCTTTATTAAACTTTCAGTTATGACAGAAATGTTTTAGAGAAGGAAACAGAACACCCTGATAGATCCTCAAGGAGACTTTAGTTTATAGATACAGGTTCTCAATGAAAACAACCAGTTGCAAAGTCCCTGGCTAGCTGATGGGGTTGAGCTGAAACCTAAAAATTCCGTTTGTCTTATTTAAAGGTATTGTCTCGACAGGAACAGTACTATCAGGTCTCTGGTACGTATAACCATCTCTTAATCTCAGACCCTTGCTGAAAACTATTATATATAAGGTACTAGAAGATAAAAAAATACAAAATGTAATCCAAAAGATTACATTTTCACTGGGGAGACTAGGGATAAAGGCATACAGGATGAAATAATATTGTAAGTGAGCTAACTGGACAAAAATAATATGGAAATAAAGATTTCATCAGAAAAAGGGAAGCCTGAGAATAGCATTTGGAAAGAGAGGATAAAGCTTCTTTGGAAGGGGTAGAGTGAGACAAATGGTATAGGGATGGTTTCTGGGCACCAGATTACAAAGATAAAAAATAATAATCTGGAGCCTAACTCAGATCTGGGGTGGCCTTCTCAGTCTCCAAACTCAGGCTTTCAGTGCTGCTCTACAATTTTTTTTTTCATTCAATGCCTACATATAGCTTCCTGTTTAGTTTGCCGTAACTTACGGTCGGATTCTGATTATTTCTGTTCTTGTCAAGACTCCTCTGCCTCTAGCTCTCTCTCAGGCAGCAGATGTCCCAGTCTCCACGGCGCTTCCCTTGGCTACCATCTGTGCATCCTTCCAGGCCCCGCGGGGGCAGTTCCCACAGGTAGCCTCCCTGGGCATCCAAGCATCTGGATCATGCCACACCTCCAGGCCTTCCCACACATTTGGTGCTCATACTATCATACTATCCTGTGATGGTCTTATTTCTTACCTATCCTCCCCAGTAGATTTCATGAGACTCACAACCTCCCCATCACTTATTTGTCTTTGCACTCCTAGCACCCAATAGTGACTCAGGGTTGGCACCCAGGGAACAGATGATGAACGAATGACGGTTCCAGACCTATCTCGGCAGTGTTCCTAACTCAGTTAGGGTTTCATCAAAGACCTGGGCTAATCAGGAGAGATTATCGGGAGTTGTGGGGAGAATCAGCTCTGACTAGACAGAAAGGCATAAGTACTGTGGTTACAGGCAAGCTCCTAGGGCAAACTGCCTGGGTTCAGACACAAGTTCTCCTGCTTCCTAGCGGTGAGCAAGTTACTTCATCTCCATGCCTTTTTCGGCATCTCAGGAAACAGAGTTCTAACAGCACCCGTTTCATAGCTTTAGTGGGAAGATTAAATAAGTTACTATTCATAAAAGTGCCAGAACACTGCCTGGTACAGACATGGCAGTCAGTAAGTTTTAGCCCTATTGTCTCGAACACTTGTCTTCCCTTGCTCCCCACATAAAATGCCTTACCACTCTGACTCCTAGATCTGTTCCTGCCTCTCTGTTCTCACTCTTCAGCCCAGGCCCCATCACTTCTCATGGCCTCTCCCCTCCAGTCTCCAGATCTTAGCAACCTCTTGCTGCAGTCGGATGCCTTCTAACATGAACATTCACGTTTCTCTCCCCCAAAACTTGAGTCCCTCCCCATTAGCCTCGGGACAAAGTTCAAATTCTTAGTCTGGCGCTCTGTTTTACAATCCATTCCCAAGCTACTTTTTGGGACTTGCCTCTCGTTATTTCTCTCTTCTTCCTAATGCTGACTGCTGATGCGCCCGTCTCTCACAAAACTCTTTCAGTCCCTGTGCCTTACTTCCTTCTGCCCACGTGTCAATGCTTGTCTTAGCAAAAACACTGGCTTCTCTGATGCCTCAACACTGTTCCTACTGCCCTTTGCATCCAACACTGCACTTTTCATGTCCCCAAGTTTGACTTGGGTCTATGTTATATCTCCCGTATGTCTTTTTACCCTTTGGAACATACAGAAAGTGGTTGTAATTTTTTAATGTTCCTGTCTGCTATTTCTAGCGTGTCATTTCTGAATCAGTTTCAACTAACTTTTATGTCATACTTTCCTGCCTTTTGCATGCTTGATAATTTTTTTCAACTTCATTGAGATACAGTCGACGGGGGCGCCTGGGTGGCTCAGTCGTTAAGCGTCTGCCTTCGGCTCAGGTCATGATCCCAGGGTCCTGGGATCGAGCCCCGCATCGGGCTCCCTGCTCAGCGGGGAGCCTGCTTCTCCCTCTCCCACTCCCCCTGCTTGTGTTCCCTCTCTCGCTGTCTCTGTCAAATAAATAAATAAATAAATAAATATTTTTTTAAAAAAAAAAACAAACAAACCGGGGCGCCTGGGTGGCTCAGATGGTTAAGCGTCTGCCTTCAGCTCAGGTCATGATCCTGGGGTCCTGGGATCGAGCCCCACGTCCGGCTCCTGGCTCAGCGGGGAGCCTGCTTCTCCCTCTGCCTCTCCCCCTGCTTGTGCTCTCTCTCTCTCTGTATCTCTGTGTCTCGAATGAATAAATAAAATCTTAAAAAAAAAAACAACTAATAATGTAATGCATGGTGATTAACATAACATAAGAAAAAAAAAGATAGTCGACATATAGCTTTGTGTAAGTTTAAAGTGCACCATGAGTTAATTTGATACACACCTTTACCATGTCACATAATCATCAATGCCTGATAATTTTGGATTGGATGCAAGACTTCCTGATTTATCTCTTTGGGTGCTGGACAGTTTTGCATTCTTATAAATATTCTTGAGCTTTTTTTCTGGAATGCAGTTAAGTTACTTGGAAACAGTGTGATCTTTTTGGTCTTGCTTTTAAGACTTATTATTAGGTGGGACCACAGCCATGTTTAGCCTAAGGCTAATTTCTCCCCCACTATGAAGGTAAGACTTCTGTGAGCACCTCGTACCCTGTGAATTATGGAGTTTCCAGTCGGGCTGGTGGACTAGGCACTATGCCCAGCCCTGTGTGAGCACTAAGTTACTGCCTCTTCTAATCATTTCAGGTGGTTCCTTTCCAGGCTATGGGCAACATCCTCACAGGCCCGGTCGGACCAAGCAGGACTCTGCTGACTCCGAGGGGGGACTCTGCACATTTTCACTTCTCCCTCTGTGCCTCTCTCCTCTCCAGGTACTGCCATGTGAACTCCAGTTGCCTCAGTCTCCCCAGACTCTCAGCTCCATCTCCTCAAATCAGGGAGCCTGCTGACCTCTGGCGGGGCACCCTTTCCTGTCACAGCCCACAGACTCTCTCAGGGTGGTCAGCAGGGGGGGGGCAACCATCTGACTGTCTCCCTGCTCTCGGAAAGCACTGTCCTTCACTGCCCGATGTTCAACAGCTCAGAAAGTGTTGTTTCATATACTGTATATAGTTTTTGGTTACTTCAGGCAGAAGGATGAATCCAGTCCCTGCTACACGGTGCTGGCTAGGAACAGAAGTCCCTACCGCACTCTCACACGTGTCTCTGTTACAACCTCCAATACTAACCACAAGGTAACAAAGTGGTTGGAAGAGTGTGCTTCACAAGGGCAGAGACTGTTCTGTATATTCCTTATACCTTTAGCACCTAACACAGAGTAGGTGCTCAATGTGTGTGTGGAGTGAATGAAAGACCGCCCAACTTCTTGTGGGGCCTGAGAATCTAAACAAAGCTGGCCTTGAAACCTTAACTGTAAGACTACTGTCAATTTGTCTCCCATTTACCTCCTTTTCATGCACCCCTCCCCTAGCCTAAATGACCTTTCTGGAGTGCCCCACAAATATCCTTCTTATATTTTTCAGAATCCACACAAGACTTAAGTTCTCTATAAAACTTGTCCTGCCGGGGCGCCTGGGTGATTCAGTAGGTTAAGCGTCAGACTCTTGATTTTGCCTCAGGTCACGATCTCAGGGTTGAGATGAAGCCCCAGTCCTCTCCGTGCTGGGTGTGGAGCCAGCTTAAGATTCTCTCTCTCCCCCCTACCCTCTCTAAAAACCAAAACCAAAACCAAAAAAAAACCCAACTTGTCCTGCCAACTATTTTCTTTCTACTTTAAAACTGCTATAAAATGTACTGCTCATAATATTAATTTGGAATAGTTTTTTTTTTTTAAGATTTTATTTATTTACTTGAGAGAGCAAGCAAGAGTGAGCAAGAGTGACCAATAGAGCATGTGCAGGGGTGGAGGGGCAGAGGGAGAGGGAGGAACAGACTCCCCGCTGAGCAGGGAGCTCCATGTGGGGCTCGATCCCAGGACCCTGGGACCATGACCTGAGCCGAAGACAGACGCTTAACCCACTGAGCCACCAAGGCACCCCTAATTTGGAATATTTCTTATCCTATCTTGTTTTTTTCCTTTTTAATGTACATACCTCTTATTTCTCCTGACTACACTGAAGGGGTTGGAGACTGTAATATGGTTTCTTCTCTATGTCACTTATTAGATGTTCAGTAAATACAGTGTATTTGGTGGCTGTATCAAATACACTGTCCAGTATATTCCATAGGAAATGGTAGTATAACCATACAAACAATGCCTCATCACTCTCAGATGGCAACTCACCATCTCCATGTGAAAGGTAAAAGACAACTCCTGAATCCAAATAATTTCTTCACTTACACTGTTAATAACTACATCAAACCTGTACAAGATATCCGTAGTTTTGCCCACATGGATCTCTTTCCTCTTCTTTTGTGACAATAAATCCATCTCCTCTGGAGACTCACTGTCTACCTCTGCATTAAGTCTCAATGGGAACATCCTTCAATACTTTTCACCCTCCTCTGACAAGGTGGAACCTCTGGCCTCTCGTGGAACCTCAGTGGGCTGGACAATTCAATTCTTTCTGTGAGTAACAAACCAAAGGGAGACCATTCCAGGGCAGACTCTGAAAGGACCCCTGTCACTTAGATCCCTTGAGCCGCCCTTGTTTGTTCTCCTTTCAGAGGTGTAGGTGTTCATCCACCCTGTATCATTTCAAAGAAATTCCTTTCTTCCTTAAATCAGCTAGAGTTGGTTTCACAGCTTGCAAACAATGAACTCTAACTGAAAGCCTTTGCCTCTGTTAGCTCTTTTAAGCACCTAGGTCTACGGCATACACCATATGTTTAGGTTTTTACTGAATGGTAGAAATCATATCCACAAAGTACCCAATACAGGCAACTTGCTCGGATCTAAAGTGATTTAGGTATGTAACTGTTGGTGAAACACTAATCTCCAATTGTTTGGTGGAACAGATTTCTAGAATTGTACTCATCCTAAAGGTAAAAGCTACAGATTCAAGAACCTGGGGCAACTTAGCATCAACCAAGAAGCATTTACTGCACACATTTTTCTAAGAGTTTCTCATTTTCTTCAGATTTTTCCCCATACATTTCAGCTCATGAATCTCACCCTTAAAAATTCAGAAACAATGATTTTTTTTCTTCAAATGTATATGAATGTCAAATCTACTTTCATGTCTTACAGGTAGTTTTCCATTTTCTCAACTGAAAAAAATGGAAAGTTTTAGTCTTATAATTAGAAATTGTCTGGTTCTTAGTTAAGATACTTTAACTGGGGTTGCTACTTACGCCAAAATCTAAGGTCTTGCAGGGCTGGGACTGTTAATGTGTCTTGGCTGATGCCCCTAATTCAGTGACAGGATCACAGTAATATTCCTATTAACGTATTAATCCAAATTAGTGCTTTAACATTAACTATCAACTTGCATTTCTCAAGGGTAGATTTTATTACCTGTCAATGAGGCAAACCAGTTAATTCTGGGCACAATTACACGTTTCCCCTAAAAATGTTTTAATATGCTTAAACAAAGATTTCACTCTGTACTATATAGGTTGTAAACTAGGCCTCTGTTTTTGTTTTGTTTTTAGCAATCTGGTTTGGATCCATTAAGTAAGGCGATCTAAAACTCCTTCCATGCCTATCACGCTTACATTCAAAGTATCACGACACTGTTTTTCTCCAATGCGGGTTTCTAGGCAATGATAGCGACAGGTCCGCCCGTGGGACGCCGGCGGCCGGTCTGCATGTCGCAGCTGCTCGGGATCCGGAGCCCTCGAAAGCCACGACGAGGGAGACTGGCCCCCTGCGCCCCCGGACGTGCGAGCGGAGCCAAGCGGCCCGGCTCAGAGAAGCGCCCCGAGGGAGGGCTGTCAGGCCAGCCGCGCACCACGTGAAGCTCCAGTTCCGGGATCAAAGACGCGCGCCGCACGGGAGCTGGGCGCCCGCCAGGGACCCCCGCATCCGCGCACCCACCGCCCAACAGCCCCCCCGGCCTCCACCCGGGAAAATAAGCCCAGAGCCGGCGCGCCGCGGACCCCACCGCCTGCTGGGTATCTTGTCCCAGGACCCCGCGCCCCTGGGCAGCCCCGCGCAGGAAGCGCCGCCTCCGGCCGCACCGGTTAAGGGTGGCTTCCCGCGGCAGTCTCCGCCCCGCGCGCCCAGCAAGGGAAGAAAGGGGTTCCGGGGCCAGCCTCCCTCCACTTCCGCGCACTCACGTCCTCCATCCTGCCCCTCGAAGCCATTTCCCGGAGCCTGAGGCCGAAGCCCCGGCCGCCCAGGCGGGCCTTTCCACCTGCTCCCCGCGCAGCCGGCCCAGGAAAACTGCCACCTTCCAGGACTTAGCCTCCCCCACTTGAGACACACTCCTCCTGCTCCCGCCCCGCCTCCGGCTGGCCCCGAACCCCGCCTCCTCACTCCCGATTGGCCTAGGTGTGGGGGCGTGTCCCGCCCTGAAACCCGGTCCGTGGGCCGCAAGGACTGCACCCGCCTCCTGGTTTCCGGGGATTCCAGCAATCTCCGCTCAGGTCTGCTATTGGCCAGAGACTTGGGCGTTAAATGTTGCGTTCCGAATCCAAGAATTTTAACTATTTTTGCCGCCACTTGCTTCTTTTTAAAACATTAACTTTTTCCGGTCTTCCTTAGTTTTTGTTTGCAAGCACGGCTCCATGCATAAGTAGAACCAGCTATAGAATCCTAGCGCTGCCATTTACAACTCGAAACTCCACCAGTAGAGTGATACGCCGAACAGAATAAAGATTCTAATTTACATGACGTATTTACAGGTTGCGCTAATGGAAAATGAAGTAGTTCGGAATTTTTAGGGCTTTTGTTTCTTTTTAATGTAATAAATAAAACTTTTCTGAAAATCCATGATCGTTGTAAAAATGTAAAGAAAGTAAAAAAAAATTTTTTTAAAATAAAGATTTTATTTATTTATTTGACACAGAGAGAAAGCCAGAGAGGGAACACAAGCAGGGGACGTGGGAGAGGGAGAAGCAGGCTTCCCGCTGAGCAGGGAGCTCGATGTGGGGCTCCATCCCAGGATCCTGAGATCATGATCCCCGCGGAAGCAGACGCTCAAGGACTGAACCACCCAGGCGCCCCAAAGTAAAAAATTTTAACATCAGTTCCCTGATCTAACCCTGCTACTACTGAGGATATACACATTTCATGCTTTCTAATGCTTATTTGTGCATTGTGTATGGTGTAATCCTGTTTGTGCCATTGGTGAAATTATCCAAAAATCGTCCAAGGAAAAGATGATATAAGACTCCACCTGATCTTTAAAATCTCAGGAAATTTTAAATTTTTCTGAGATTCTATAAACTATTTTTCAAGAGCCTTTTCTAGGCATTCATTTCCCTTCAACATTTTATCTTGAAATTTTTCTTTTCTTTTTTTTTTTTTAAAGATTTTTATTTATTGGGCGCCTGGGTGGCTCAGATGGTTGAGCGTCTGCCTTCGGCTCAGGTCATGATCCCAGGTTCCTGGGATCGAGTCCCGCATCGGGCTCTCTGCTCGGTGGGGAGCCTGCTTCTCCCTCTCCTCCTGCTCCCCCTGCTTGTGCTCTCTCACTCTCTCTGTCAAATAAATAAATAAAATCTTTAAAAAAAAATAAAAAAAAAAGATTTTTATTTATTTATTCATGAGAGACAGAGAGAGAGAGAGGCAGAGGGAGAAGCAGGCTCCCAAGGAGCAGAGAGCCCGATGCGGGACTCGATCCCAGGACCCTGGGATCATGACCTGAGCCGAAGGCAGACGCTCAACCATCTGAGCCACCCAGGCGCCCATCTTGGAATTTTTCAAAACCTAGGGGAATGTTGAAAGACTAGTACAGTGAACATCCATGTGACCCTCACATCGATTCATCAGTTCCTATTATGCCACAGTTGCTCTGTGTGTGTGTGTGTGTGTGTGTGCCTGCGCGTGCGCGTGCACGCAAATATTCACCTATATGTTTTTAAGTGAACCATTTGAAAATAGAGGACATTATGAAACTTCGTTCCAAATACTTCATTGACTGAAAGTAAGGACATTTTTCTCCTTAAGCACAATATATCACAACTAAGAAACCAATAGTAGCTCCAATCCATGGCAAAAATTTTCCAAAATTTCCCCAAAATATTTTTTTAATTTTTAAAATCTTTTTAAAAGACTTATTTATTTTATTATTTTTAAAAGATTTTATTTATTTATTTGACAGAGAGAGAGAGACAGCAAGAGAGGGAACACAAGCTAGGGGGAGTGGGAGAGGGCGGCTGAGCAAGGAGCCTGATGTGGGGCTCGATCCCAGGACCCTGGGATCATGACCTGAGCTGAAGACAGACGCTTAACCGACTGAGCCACCCAGGTGCCCCAAGACTTACTTATTTTAGAGAGCGAGAGAGAGAGAGAGTGAGCACAAGCAGGGGGAGGGGCTGAGGGAGAGCGAGAGAGACTCTCAAGGTGATTCCCCTCGCTTCTCTTCCTGTGGCTTCGTCTTAGGAGGTGGAGATCATGACCTGAGCCAAAATCAAGAGTTGGATGTTCAACCAACTGAGCCACCCAGGTGCTCCTCAAGATATCTTTTTTAGTTGTTCTTTTTCATCATCCAAAATTCAATCAAGGTTCACACATTGCATTTAGTTACTATGTCAAGAGGTATACTTTATTATTTTTTAAAATATTTTATTTACTTATTTGACACAGAGAGAGAGCACACAAGCAGGGGGAGCAGCAGAGGGAGAGGGAGAAACAGGCTCCCTGCTGAGCTAGGAGCCTGATGTGGGGTTCAATCCCAGGACCCTGGGATCATGACCCAAGCTGAAGGCAGATGCCTAACTGACTGAGCCACCCAGGTGCGCTGGTACACTTTAATAAGTACATTATACTGGTTAAGACCAAGGCTCTGGAATTAGTCATGAAGATTTGAATTCTGCATCTTACTAGGGGTATGATCTTGGGCACCTTACTTAAATTTTCTAGGAGTCAGTTTCCTCATCTGTAAAAATGGAACTGTTACTAGATCCAATTTTGGAAGGATTTTTTATTAAATGAAATAATGCATTTAATGCTCTTGGCACAGTGTTGTTTGTCTCTGGGCACTCAAAATGTTAGTCACTTTTTTGTGTAAGTCAGGTTTATTGAAGCATTATTAACATATATAGTCACTGTTTTAATAGTACATTAAAATATTACATTATTCAAATAGTTCAGTAAATCTTTTTTTCTGGGGGTTGAAATTTTCAAAATAAAAATAGTGGTGGGGGGGAAGATGATGGTGCACTTGGTCTGCTAAAAGGCTTTAGGGTAGAAATAATCTGATTACCCTCTATAAACCAGAAGGGAGCAATGGTGTCAGGAAATAGAATTCTGAACTGTGCATAATTTTATAGGAGTGGGTTGGTAGAGGAGAGAGGTTGTCAGGCCAGGAGCTGCACTTCAGTAGGAGGCTGTGACCTCCAGAGATTAGAAAGAGCGGGAGAGGGCGCCTGGGTGGCTCAGTTGGTTGAGCGACTGCCTTCGGCTCAGGTCATGATCATGGAGTCCTGGGATCGAGTCCCGCATCGGGCTCCCTGCTCAGCAGGGGGTCTGCTTCTCCCTCTGCCCTCTTCCTTCTCGTGCTCTCTGTCTCTCATTCTCTCTCTCTCAAATAAATAAATAAAAATCTTTAAAAAAAAAAAAAAAAAAGAAAGAGCGGGAGAAAAGGTTGCCCTATGGAAAGGCAAGGGTGACTATTTAGAAGGAAGAAAAAGATTTATCTTTGCCTCAGCATTTTCTTTAGGCCTAGCCATGAAATCATAGTTATGTTTGCTACGCCTAGGTAAAAAGTTAGAAATAAAGAAAAATATATGATTGCCACTAAAAGTCATTGATATTCATACTCAGGGAATATAAATGGAAACAAGCAATGGGTTAGGTGCAGGAATACAGATCTGTGGAACTCTCTCCAAAAATTCCAAGAGGAATTTTTGTAGAACTCAGGCAGAGATGATACGTATGGGGAATGAAAACTTAGTCATCATTAGGAAAGATTATTAACATGTCCATATAATGTTCTAGTGTTGGTCAAAGCAATTCAAATAAGCAAAGCCCTGTAAAGAAATTATATTTATAAAGGTATGTGACATTTCACTGCTGCATGATTGAAATATTTTTAGTGTAAGTTCTTGCGTTTGTTCACCTTGAGGAATAAGAAGACAGAAAGAACCCATTTCTCTGCCAAACAGTTCACCTTTACATTTGGGTCTGAAGTTCTATCTTTCCTATAAGTGTTATCACCATCAACATTATTTCGAGTACAGTGCTTAGCCCGATCACAGATATTGAAATGTTAATATCTCATTGTTTTTTTTTAACATCAGTATGTGTCCTTAATTCACTTTATAATGTTACTAATACAACTTCCATTACTCATCCTACCATAGTATCATCTATCATGTAAACAGTAGGTGCTTAATTAATATTTATTATTGATTTTAAAATGAGATCTCATTAGCTACTAATACTGATTTTAAGTTGGCTTTTTAATCAAATTTTAGATTGAGTCAATCCTAGCTAGACTTTTCTACAATTCTCTTAAGCTTATCTGTACCTCTGTTAGGAATGCTCTTATCCCAGACTTTGGCTTTGGATAATGTTTTGTAGCTAAGTCTCTCTTAGATACCCAGAGAGATGCTGCTGACAATTTCCCTTTCAATGAACAGACAGAAAAGTAAGTCAACAGTTATTTTAGTGTATCAAATTAGTTTGGCTTATATACTTTTCCTAGAAATTTTTTTTCTAGAAAGAAATTTAAGGATATTGTGAGCAATTGGAAATATTCTGCAGTTTCCATTTATTAGTTCCATAAATATTTGGGCCTTTGAGAGCACCAGGTCCCTCAAATAGAATCCAATTGTAACCAAACACTTCAAATTTGGATGAAAAAGTATATTAGATGTCCTCAGAACTTATGAAATTTCACACTTGTTACCCATCACCTCCTCCCACATTATTGGTTTGTATTCTCCTAAAGCCCTTGTACTGACATTTAAAAACACACTTGTTTCTGAAGGCAGAAAAATTTATTTTAGTTTCACTGACTAATTCGGGAGTGGGAGAACAAATTTGCTAAAACTTCCAAAAATAATTTATCTTTGGATAGATACCAAATATGTGAAGTTTTAGACCAAAAAAAATTGTTTTCTTTTAAAGTTTTAGAAAAACAGGGGCTCTTGGTGGCTCAGTCAGTTAAGCGTCTGCCTTCAGCTGAGGTCATGATCTCGGGGTCCTGGGATCGAGCCCTGCATCGGGCTCCCTTGCGCAGCGGGAAATCTGCTTCTCCTTCTCCCTCTGCCCCTCCTCCCCATGCTCTCTCGCTCTGTCTCTCAAATAAATAAAATCTTTTTTTTA